ATAATCTACAATTAAATACAATAAAATACAGAATTTATTATTAATTCGATCCTTCGAATTAAAGAAGACTTATGTTTTCATGACTAGATTACTTTACTTACTTTATTACACTTATACTAATATAAAATTGCTTGAAACTGAAACGTTTATTTAAAAACATTTCACATTACATCAAAATGGCTGACAGAAAAAAGTCTATAATCAAAGATATCAGTATCATACATAGAATCTATTACTAACAAGAAAAGGGCGACTTTCTCGGTGAATATCTCGTTCGAAAAATTCCGGAATAACGTTTTGCAATTAAGAGCAGACGCTAACCGTGTTAACCGCAAGAACAGAGAAAGATGACGGAAGAGAGGAAGGCAACGCCGCGAAAAGAAGGTGTCGCATATGATTACACATTCACCGGGAGCGTGAACTCAATAAACACGGTGCGCCGCGACGCGCCGGGAGCCTCACGTGTCGCAGGTGAAAGATAATTACCTAAAAAGTATTACAATTAGTATTATTATAATTTTAAGCTGTATGGAGATTGGAAAGTTCCTAGGTGGGAATTGCCATGTAATCTGTTCCCGGTATTGAACCCGCGGGATGGGGGGGGAAGCCGAGGGGGGAACCCGAGGAGGTGATAGAAGACCACCGTTTGAGCGCAATAAAATCGAAATATCCGTTACAAACGGTCGTCACGCTGTCATGAGAGAATTTATGCCGCTTCAAATAGAGAGATCTATCATCGACGCGACGGGACAAATCGCGTTTCTTTAAAACGCCGGCGAACTCTTCCAATAAACCCATAAAAATGGCCGCTCGGTCTTAAACGGACTCACTACAGCGCTGCGATTAGGCAAAACGCGGTGGTAATAGTAGTAATTACCGTGGCCATTGATATAATCGCGATCATAAAGACGTCTGGACGTTCCGCTTGAAGATTGTTACAAATTCTTCTTCGACAGAAAGATGAACTGCTATAATTTGGTAAAAACAAATCGCACAGCGATCAACCTGCGCTCGTTTTGAAGCTCGAAGCCTCCTCTTTCGCACTCCGTCGATAATTTTCTTTTAAATTGTTCTTTCGCTGCATCGTATTGATTTTAACGAGCACCAAGCGAGACGCTCGCCGACGATGTAACAAGACACGGTCTTCGTTTTTCGTCGATGATCACGGTTGAAAAAAATCGTGCATCGAATTTCGAGGTGGCGTTGCAAAGAGGAAGCTTCGTTCTTCGGAACCGTTGCAGTTTCAATCCGAGAAAAAAATTGTTCGACGATTTCAAAGACGTTCGAAGAGCACTCGGGGAACTTGGGGAAAATCGTATGCTCGGTTTTTCGCCCGCCGTTTCATGCGACGATATTTTTGGGGGAAATGACAGATCGGGTACGGAGGCGGAGGATTCAAGTTTCGAAATGACGCCAGGTTCGTTTCTGTGCGAGTCGTTTTTACGGAATTATGACGGCTCGAAGGTGCGCGACTTTTCGGCGCCGCCGCGCGTCCTTCTGCTCGTCTTCGTAGAGAGGATCGATTACGAAAACGGACGGGCGAACGCGCGATTTTACGGTGGTCCAAGATTGATTTCCAGTCTCCGGATTGCGAATGATCTGGAGCTGTTGCCGTACAGAAAGTTGACTGATGTTCGGAGTCATGCTACGTATGAAATCATCGCCGTAGACCTTCGAGAGCGTTCACTTTCCAAAAAGGATTCACTCGGATCC